GGAGATGGTTCAACTTTATCATTCGCTGGTTTAATGATCTCAGAAACTGGTTTGGATTTATCGTCGATAGGTTCTACGTGTACGATCTCGGGGGGCAGAGATGTATCGGTAGACTTGGATGACAGGCAACTGAAAATTCGGGTTGATCTATTGTTGAATCAAAGAGATCCTGGGTCATATTAGTAATGGATGGAGCGGATACTATTTCCTTACCTTTTTCGATTTGATTGGTGATCGATGACTCAGCTATATTTTTCTTTGGTTCAGGAGTTTTAACTTCAATATCTGTGGAATTGTTGGCGAGTGTCACAGGTTGAGGTGTGTCTGAAAATTCCTCGATATCACCTACCGCCATCACAATTATTTTCTAGTGGTACCACAGCCATACGGCCTGTGTAACCATCGAGCTCGAGGTCAGAAGCAACAATGTCTTGCATTTCGGTAGTGTTTTGGGTGTCCATTTTATGAAAGGGTATTTGAAACTTTTACTATATAACCCTAAGAAAAATGTTCAAATTAAAAATTATTTATTCGTTATTATTACCTAACAATTTTATTACCAGTCAGTAATTTGAATTCGATACGCACTTTGTAATGCAATTTAATGGTGGAAATTTATCTTTGCCAGTATATCACCAACAACAAGAAGATTTGCAATAGGTCTTGTTATCGGCAAGAAGGTTGTGCTATCCACTGGAAAAGACGTCAACGTGATCCTTGTGAGCAGTGTGGTAGGCCAACTGCCTCCGAGTATAAGTTATGTAATTTACACGTAGGGAAATATCATTCTAGAGCGCATTATCAACGAAAAAAACTGGAGAAGATGGCAGAAAAAGATACGTAGTATGAAGGTATATGTTGGAGAATCACGTCCAGGTTGACTAGGTAAATTTTTCTTGGACAAAAAAAGATAGCTAAATGATGTTTTTGAGTCGGAAGAAAAGGTGTGAACGCGATGGGCTAACACCGAGGGTTCATGCTCGGCATCGCTTCATTATGGGCAATGTGTAGTTAAC